TTTCTGCTTAATCTAGGAAGGGCATCTCGGGTGTATTTTTTTATACTTACTCCGAAAATGATATTTTGATTGTATTTTTTATGTTCAACCCAAGTATGACATTTTGAGTATATTTTTAATGCTTAGCTCTAGAAAAGTATTTCGAACACATTTTTGATGCTATGTTAGGTATTTTTTTATATTTAGCACAAGAAGAATGTCTCGGGTGTATTTTCTATTTTTAGCTCAAGAAGAATGCATTGGGCATGACTTGTATGGTGGGCTCCAATGGTCTGTTAGCCTTTTCTTTGGTTAACACTTCAACGAGCGAAAAATTTACAAAGTATTGAGTCTATTGGAGATCGAGTGGAAAAGTTGAGTAGAAAGCGTGATGGGACTTTTGGGAGTCTGAAGTGGAGGTTTAAGGTTGTAAGAGGTCTCTCCCATTGTTTTGGGGCTCACTTTGCATCTTGAGTCATCACTTGAGTTCTCTAAGTCTTTTATGCTCACCTCTTTACCTTCTGGACCTCTGACAATTATCAATCTTAGTCTCCTTTGTTAGGTCGAAAAGATATCCTCTTTCTTACCATTTGAGTCTTGCTCTCTAACCAATACGTGGTTAAGGTAGTCGAAGTCCTATCTTTGAATAGCCTAAGAATGAGAGGGAGTGCCTTGTCATTTTTTCTCCTTGAGTAAAGTGATTATGATAAACCCAAAGATCGTTATAGATCTTCAAATCATGAAGAGCTCTATTTTGACCCTCGAGTATCAAGAACGCTTACACCTAAAATACTCCATCCTAGATAAGCACTAAATGTAAGTTTCTTTAGTCGAGTAACATCCATATCACTCGATGTGCACGTGCCTCTGCTTGTATGTTGATGCCATGGAGGTTGAACTTCAGTTCTCCCTCCATCCACTAATTGTGACATGTGTGCACTAATGGAGGATATCATCATCTTAGATGACATACAACCCTAGATACTATTTGATTATCTTTATCGAGGAATGTTGCTATGTCGACATCATTGCATGTTGAACATATTCCACTCCTGCTTCTAAGCTTACAAGAGGGCAAATGGCTACTATCTTGTAGCTTCGGAGAGATTCAAGGTGAAGGGGACCCTACTTCCAACATGGGTTAAAAGGGATGGTATTTTTTTCTCGGGGTCTATTTGGACCGAGGCTTAAATCTGAATTGGTCAGTGCATATGATCACCAAGAACCAAGTATCTCAATTGGGAGAGGCCTTATCCCCCTCTCTCGCCATCAAATACATGGACAAAGATTGATTGATCGATGTTGTTCTAAAACTGACTCATCGACGATTCACTAAATGAGATCTATTAGAGTGAATTTGGAAAAGAGATTTTGTTTTCTACCTTTAGTTAAATGTATCCGGTCTTATAAATTATATACCGAGATAAACTCGTTAAATAAACTCAACAAGAGAACCATCGAATAAACCAAAACCAATATCAATGGAATAACTTATCGATTAAGTTAAATAGATATATATATGGATATATTTTTTATATACTTCCAGAAGAGTAAATCCAAATAAAATATTTTATTTTTCATATTTTGGTTCAATGAATCATCTCTCACATATCATACTTCAAATATGCTCAATGAATACTTATAATTTCCATCAAATAAGACTAAACCCAAGATTAGTGTGGAGCAAATCTCATGGTGTCGTAAAGATTCTATTTAATAGCCTTTCTTTGACATCATTATTCACAAAAAAAACAATCTTCTATTCTCAATTATTTTTTTCATCAGGTTCATCACAAATGGCTTCGAAGATCTCTGTTCTCATCGTTAGTCTGCTGGTTTTATCTTTAGTCATGCTTGTGACATCCACCGGTATATATTAGGATCACCTGTCACCTTTATATATTTTTTATCGTTTCATTATTTGAATTCAGTGTAAATACTATTGATGACTCTCTAACTTCTTATTCCTATTTAAATATTACGTATACTTACAGAAAGTCCAGTTAAAGAGTTACTCGATATGCAATAGATCCTAACATTTGTTGTTGACACCAAAATCCTGTTAATAATTAGAAGAGGAAAATTTATAATCTCTCCTCTTAATTCGAAGTCAACACACTTATTAATCATTTAGTTGACTTGACTAAGCATTTTAATCATTAACTAGTCATTTTTGCTTTTTTTATTCAATAATTATTTTTGTTCATGGATTTTTTTAGGAGGAGAAGTTTGACATGTTTGGATGAAAGAGGCTCTCGATTGCTTGAAGATATATTCCTGACCTTCGTCTTGAAATCGAGAGTTTTGATTTCGGAGCTAATGGTTTCGATTCCTAAATGTTAGGAATCAGAACTAAACCATATACGATTGATTATAGAATCGAAACTAGAATCGACGATTCTAGTTTCTATTCGAACCACGAGTTCTTTGTTAAATTTTAATTTTAATTTTTAAAATAGAAAAGGTATCATTTTATTTCTAATATTTGAAAAGTGGATATATATATATATATATATATA